GTAAACAGGAAGGATGAGGCCATCTGCTCAGAAACCAGCATTCCGGGTGTAAGGCTGGATGACTCTGTTAATTTAGCTGTGTTTCCACAGCCTCCAGGATAGCTTGGTGTCACGGCACAGATTATCCAAAATTAGCTCTTGCCGTTCGGGAGAGATGAGAGTAACGCTGAGCGGCGCAGGGTTAGGGCTGACGGGCTGGGCTGCTCCTCCCTGGGCTCTGGAGAGAACGGCAGCTCAGAGGCCCAGCCCCTCTACCTGCAACAAGCGTCAGTTCTTAAAAGGACACGAGCTTCCTACCCAGTTAGGCGCTCTGCTAGGAACACAGCTGTTTAGTGCACAGACAACAGAAATAGCTCTACTGTTTGCAAATGGGACTGTGGCTCCAGGGACAGGAGAATCAGTGTTGACGCAGATTAAATAACTCATCTTTGTTTGCTTTTGGTGGTTCCTTCCCTGGGCGGCTAAATGCTGGAGATGGGTTCATTATTTGAGTACACGGTCACCCTGGGCATTGCCACATTTTTTAGCACCACCAACCCCTTTACTATCTTTTCATCTAAGGAACCCAAGTTTTGAAAGATTCATTCTAAGAATGATGTTTTAAAATTTTTTTAATTTATTTTTGAGAGAGAGAGATACAGAGCGCAAGGGGGTGGGAGGAGATGGAGAGAGACACACACAGACTCTGAAGCAGGCTCCAGCCTTCAAGCGGTCAGCATAGAGCCCGATGCGGGGCTTGAATCCATGGACCGTGATATCATGACCTGAGCTGAAGTCGGATGCTTAACCAACTGAGCCACCCAGGCACCCCTAATAATGGTATTTCTAAGGAGTTTTAAACAAAGCTTATGATTAGCAGGTGAAAACTAGCCAGCATTCCTCAACACAAAAAAAGCTGGAGGCTTTAGTTAGCCTGTGCATCTTTACTGAGGGGAAAGTTTCTGCTGGGCTTTTGTAAATAATGAAAATAGGTCCAAGGCACCCATAATTACTTTCGTAGCTCCAGAGGGGCCTGGGAATCTTGGGTTATAAATCAAAGACCTGTTATGTTCAGCTGCTAGAGAAAGGTCAGCAGGGACAGGAAACGGCAACTAGGGTCTTACTCATATTGAGACACTTCAGCCACCACTCAGTCATACAGAGCTGATATTTATTACGTTTATTCATAAGTTGATTGTGCTCAGTGGATAGCACATTTTTGGGGAACCTCCCAGAGCCTGGGGAATCTGGGGTATGGTCACAGACGGTGCAGGAGGCTTCGCTGGAGTCAGGAGGCTGAGGGGTTTCCCTGGGCCCTTCTGCTGATAGGGAAGTAGGAGAGGCTATGAGGATCACCATATCTGAATTAAGTTAGGGCTGTCTCCTTTCTGTACTTCCTCCATGTCCTGTAAGAAAGGAAAGTAGCAGTGAACTGGGCACGGAGCAGCGCTCTATCCACACACCAAAAAGAGAATTCCAGGGAGGTTCTACCAAACAAGGCAGGAGCAAGGCAGTTTTATTCTTTCATACATGTCCTGAACATTCACCGGAGACCAGGCACTGGGGGCCCAAAGGTATAAAAGACATGTTCCTTGGGGCACACGGCTGGCTCAGCTGGTAGAGCATGAGACTCTCTTGACCTTGGGGTCATGAGTTCAAACCCTATACTGAGTGTAGAACTTACTTTAAAACAAAACCAAACCCCCTGTCCCCTGCCAGGAGGAAGCTCATCGTCTAGTAGAATTTGGAGGTGTGTCTGTGTGCTTAAGTGTATAATAGTGTCACAAGAGGGACTGGGCAGAGGGCACAGCCTCACTTTCAGATGGAGGAATGAGGGAAGACTTCATCAAAGATCATGAAGAACTGGTGAAAGTAAGTGTAGTGAGAAATAGCCTTCCAATGGCAGGAAGAGTGAGCCACTGCTCGGGGGTGGGTAAGCCTGTCGGTAATTCAAGAAACAGTGAATAGTGGGGATAGGTGTGTGGTTGGGAATATGGAAGATGCGGCTGGAATAAGAGGTGTGACCAGATCATGGCAAGCCTTGAATCCCAGACTACGGAGCCAGAACTGTCTTTATCTACAACAGAGAGGCAGCCAAGCAGCCCACGTTAGAGCACCAGAAGCCAAGACGCGAAAGGTGAAAAGGACAGGCACCGGGGGAAAGGTTTGTGAACAGCCAGGTTGCTGTGCCTGTACAGCCTGTACAGGTACGGAGTTTGGTAACCTTGCGAACCATGGTGAGGATGTGCAGTTTCTAAATTTCAATGTGGAGAATGAAGCTGTTCGGGGTGGGTGTCTAAAGCATATTAAACCGTTAAGAAAACTTACGGGTTGAGAGAACGAGGGTACATAAAGGGCAAATAAAAAGGCTGGTTGGGATCAACTTTGTCGGAAAAGATCCCAGTGAATTTCTAAGTCAGTAAGATAGTTGTCCTCATCCAATGTAGAGAAAAGGCAAAATAAAAACATCAGCCAAGTGAGTCACTTTATTAAGGGTCTGCACCTCTGCTTCAAGTGAGGGAAACTACTACGGGGCCAAACTGCATCACGGTTTAGATGCCCCACCCCACTTCCTGTTCCCAGTCCATGTAGGCGAAAAGAAGTCTTACCTGTTAGTCATCGTCGTCGTCATCCTCTGGGACAAAAATGTCATGCTCCTCAAGCAGAGCAGCAAAGTTCTTGCTAATGAGCGTCCCGACATAGAGAAAGGGGATCACAATGGAGAACACACGGAGAAGGCCGAAGGACATCTGCAGAGGGTCAGAGTGGTGGCTGTGAGTTCCAGAGCCCACTCTGGTGGGACCACAGAAGGCCCGGCCCTCAGGGGCACTCCTGTGGACCCCAGACCTGTGATAAGCAACTACTTGATTTTAAAGTCCTCGGGGGGCGCCTGGGTGGCGCAGTCGGTTAAGCGTCCGACTTCAGCCAGGTCACGATCTCGCGGTCCGTGAGTTCGAGCCCCGCGTCGGGCTCTGGGCTGATGGCTCAGAGCCTGGAGCCTGTTTCTGATTCTGTGTCTCCCTCTCTTTCTGCCCCTCCCCCGTTCATGCTCTGTCTCTCTCTGTCCCAAAAATAAATAAATGTTGGAAAAAAAATTAAAAAAAAAATAATAAAGTCCTCGGAAAAAGAGCAAGAAAAATAATTCGAAGAATTGATAAGATGATGGTCATCAAAGTGGATACTGGGAAGAAAAGTATAAGGCATTCTAGACATCTAAAAATTAGGGCTCAACCTGGTAATTACTTGCAGATACAAACAGGTAAGAAAGTACTAAGAGCTGGACTGTGGAAACAGAGCTCACCTCTACTTGAAGACACCAAATACGTGAAAATGGATTACAAAACAATGAGCATGTACAGTGAAAGGATACGGTCCTTTAACTGATTCCCCAGGGCCTGAGAAGTTTAATTGCACCACATTAAATGTTCAAAACAAGCATGTTTTGAAAAGTGAGCATGTCTTCACGCTAAAAGACTGGCTGTTTTAGATGGACTAAGGGAGTTTCAGTATAATCTCAACATATCCTCTCATATTTTCCTATGGAGTTTCCAAAAAAAATTTTTTTTCAGCTGTGCCTTTTTATAAGGCAGCTCTTCCCCAGCATGGATCCTGCTGCTTCCCAGGAAATAATCCTGAGCTCACTGACCGGATTAGCTTTAAGAGAATTTGTTTTTGTTTTGTTAACTCCCACGCAGCACCGGAGTAAAAAAGCAAACTTGTTTGGCTTAAAGGGCTGTTTCCATTTTACTTAGAAAAATCCAAGGGTACTCAGGGCACGTGAGAGCATTCAGTGGTGGAAAAAATAGGACCTGGTGGAGGTGGGCGGGGGAGGAGGGTCGACCAGCAAGAAACCTGGATTCCAGGACCTGACGGGCTGCTCGCTTTGGAGCCTCACTGGCTTCACTGCTTTGGCCCGATTCTTCATTTATAAAAACTGACTGTAATACCTCCCTGCACACCTCTCAGAGTTGCAAATTACACGAATTAAACACTAGGTCAAAACTCCTACGAAGAAAAGGTCTGTCCCACGTACAATTTATTTACAAAGTCCTTTCACAACTCGTTATTTCATCCCATCAACTCTGAGGCTGACAAGAACAGAGTGGTTACGTGATTTGTCTATACCGGGTGCATATAGCCGAGTCTTGTGGCCCTGGAGAACTCGCGCACCGCGCTCCTCACGATAAACTAGTGCAACGTGCAGTCCTCAGCTCTCGCTCCCCCACCCCTCCATCCTCTGTCTCCTTGCGCCCAACTCAATCAACACCGGGATCTGACCCGACCATCTCCTCCCACCTGTCAAAATTCGCAGGGCATCATTGCTAAACTTTGTCCTTGATCCGTCTTCCGGTCTAAGGCGGTTGTATGATTGGCCTTTGCACCTATCAGTCGGCGTCGACCCGCACACACTCCCCATAATGATTGGCCTCGGCCCCTTCGCCCCGCCTCCAGGCAGACACTCACTTTCACCGGTTTGGGCAAAATGGCGCCGCTGCGAGTAACGATGACTGACCTCGACGGTACCAGGCTCCGACCTGAGCCACCCCCTCCGTCGGAGACATCGCCACCTTTCCTCAAGCTCGGCCCGCTCCGTAAAGCCCCGGATCGGACGGATGCCAATGCCAGCCAGCGAGCCGCTGCGGACGCCATCTCCCAGCTCCGCCCCTAGCTCGGCACCCGGGCCCCACCGCCCAGCCCCTGTGACGTCCTCAGGGAGAGCACGGCCGCAAGCCTCGCGAGACCCTTGAGATCAGACGAGAGGCCCAGCTCTCACACTTGCGCAGTGCGCCTAGTTCCCCTATGCGGTAGAAAAGAGGCGTTTGTTACCGGCCGGACGTGGTGACGTCACGAGGAGGATGCCGATGCCCCAACAGCCGGCTGATTCTGGGCATGCTGGGCGGGGTCTTCTGGCTGGCGGTCCTCGTGGACCCCTCGTATTGTTCACTCACCCAGAACAGCCAGGGTTTGGCAGAGTGGGTGATTGTTGAGAAGAGAAATGACTTTAATTGAGCTTGAAACAATTGTATTTCTCTTTTTAATATTTAAAAAATATAAATGTATTAGTTGTACTACTTGGGTGATTTGGGAATTTTATTTCTTGCCAAGGTATACGTTCTCTATAGGCAAATGTAAACCATAACTGAAGGGGAGAAATGGGGCTTTTGCACAAATTGGTCAAGTGGTTGTTAAAATAAACTTTGAGGAACCAAAATGAGTAATAAAAACCTAATGTTTTAATCATATAAAAATACTGTAACCATAAGAAAGATAAAAGCCTATAGTGTCTGTGTAGAAAACAAGGCGCAGTGGGCTGTGGGACTCCTGTACAGGGTTCGGAAGGTAGCCCCTCTTCTTAGGACACAAGCCTGGCAGGAACCGGTTCTGGACTCTGGTGGCCTTGGGCGTGCTGGACTTAAGAGGCTGTCGGTCACAGCCTCTGGACCTCGTTGGCCCTGGTCAGGCTACCCAAGGCCCTAATAAGGGATTGAGAGTCTAAGAAGGGGCAGACTGTGCGTATGGAGAGGGGGGGATGTCTTGACCAGGTTCTGCATCTTCCATCCAGCCACTGCTGCCTCACCTCTAGGGCTCAGGCTAGTCTGGCTGCTGGCTCTCTAGACGCAGCCACTTTGCCTCCCAAAATAATCGATAAAACACTTGGCGCCATGCTGCTGAGAGTAGCAGTGAGAGGGTCTTGGCAGATACGCGCTGGCTGACAAGCAGGATGGTGAATGAGTTCCTAGGAGGGGTTCAGGGTTGGGAACAGCTCTCTGGGAGCAGTTAGAAGAATTTATCCTGGTGTTCAAACTCCCAGAATGCCCTCGACTGAAAACCAAAATAACAACCTGGCTTCCCCAGGGAGCCACATTGCCTCCTCGCTTCTTTGGCTTCCCACTTGGCAGCTCCAGGAGCTGGCTGCTAAGGACAGAATACAGGAAGGATTTCTGCTGACATAAAAAGCTCCCAGCCCCTCTTGGGACAATGACCAGCACCATCTATAGACAAGGCAGCCAGGGAGAGAAGATGGGGGCCCCAACACTTGCTGAGAAGAATCAATCCCTCTTCGTTGGCTGAAGGCCCTGCCCCTCCAAAGGGCCCCACCCAAACTGCAGTTCCTATGCCCAATCTTCCCACCGCTCAGGAAGAGCTGGGCCCCAGAAACCCCCAGGACAATAAATCCACTTTCTCTGACGGTGTCAGTCCCTTGAGCCAACATTTCAGCCAGCTTCTGGTATTTAAATGTACACACAACTCCCTGTGTTAGAAGTTGTGGTTGTAGAGTCTGTTGTTGGAAGTTGTGGTTGTAGAGTCTGTTGTGTAGGTAAACAGGCAGGGCAGCCTGAGGCCATGCAATAGTCCCCACTTCCTCCATTTCATTAATATTCCCTGAGAGCGGAGCAGTCCAGCACAGAGTCAGGAGACTTGGGTCTGGCCCTGTGGTTGCTGAGCAAGCATCCCCTCCTCTCTGGGCCTCAGGAAACAAAGGGGTTGCAAGTAACGATTCCTTGGTCCCCCTCCAGGCACAAAGGTGGATCTGGAGCCTGGAGGAGGCCTAAAAAGCAGGAAGGAGAGAACCCTCTCAAAAAAAGCAACTTTAAAACAAATAAACATTAAATTCCTGGAGAAGCACTGGCTCTGGTGTCCTGACCAGCAGGACAAGGGCAGAACCCAAAGAGCCGAGGCTCAGTGCCCATCTTGTTTCTCACGTTCTGGCCGGCTCCCCCGGGCCCTCTGCATCCACCTCTGCCTCAGCTCCGAGATCTCCTGGCCATACCAATTGTGCAAGGCAGAGAAGTAGAAGGTCTCAGGGAACAGGGGGCTCTGCCTCCTGCCCAGGAAGAGGCCGGCAGGGCCCTGCAACTCGGCCAAGCCCTGCCCTGCTGGCCTGCTGCCACTTTCTTCACCCAAGTCCACAGGGCTGCAATCCTTGGAGAGGGAGTGGCCGTTTTCCAGGCCCGGAGGCCGATGGTCAGGAGCCTGGGGCTTATAGCGGCTGGTAATGGCCTTCCAGGATGAGTGGCGATGCAAGGCCAGACTGTGGCGGGCATCTCGCAACTGGCTCTCCAGCTCGCGCACCACCAGGCGCATGTAGCCAAAGCTCGCCCTGGACAGTGCCTTCACCCAGGCCTCCTGGGCCGCGGGCCCATCTGCCGCAAGCAGGTGTGGGCGCACACCAGGGGCGTCGAAACGGATGGCGAAGGCAAACTCCTCAGACATTGGAGCCTCGGCCAGCTCCACCGTGCAGCCCTCCAGCACCACCAGGCTCAGCGGGGCCCTGCTCTCTCGGCTCTCAAAGGAGAACAGCAGGTTGCCTTTGAGAACAAACCAGCATCTTCGGCCAGTGCCACTGGGAGTGGGGGGAGTCCCTGCCCCGCCCCAAGTGCGCAGAAAGCCCGTATGGTCTGCTGGGGAGTCGCTCAGTGCATAGTGGGCTACACTCCTCTCGTTCAGCTTCATGGCTCCCATAAGAACTGTGAGGGGAAAACATTTTTAAAAAATTAAAAAAGGGGAGGGGCACCTGGGTGACTCAGTTGGTTAAACATGAGTTTGAGCCCCGCATCAGGCTCTGTGCCAACAGTTCAGAGCCTAGAGCCTGCTTCAGATTCTGTCTCCCTTCCTCTCTGCCCTTCCCCACTCGCACTCTGTCTCTCTCTCTCAAAAATAAAATAAAAACATTAAGAAAAAAAAAAAAAGTGGCGGCGGGAGAGGGCCAGAGAGGGAGGCAGCCTCTGTGCTCCTGTGGGGAAAAGAACGCTGGCTCTGGAGGAGACCTGGGCCCCAGCTCTGTGGCCTCTACTCACTTGCTGTGTGCCCTGAGGCTCTCAGTGTCTTCATCTGTGAAATGGGCTAGCCTCCCCTGACTTTGCTCTCAAAGGGTTGTTGTGAGGGTCATGGAAAAAACTGGACACCAGAGGGCTCAGAGAAAATGATAACGTGTACCAGACCAGGAGGTATGGAGGGCTTTGACACAGCTTTTTAAAATCCAAAGAAAAAGGTATCAGCTGAGCTGAAATGGATCCTGAGCCCACAGAACCCATAGAAATCATTATGCCTAAACCATCCCCTGACCCAGGGGCCCCTCAGCTCCAGCCCTGAGGCCAAACCTCCAGGGTTTCTGTGACCCTCCTGGGCCCCCGCGGCCTCTCATTCGTTGACGGCGCAATTACCCTTTAGTAAGAATCCGCAGCCTTCGAGGCCAGATGAGGGCAGGGTGAGGCAGGCCTGCCCCATTCCTCCATCAGCGGGGGCTTAGATATGGATCTGTGCAGTAAACGAGTGCGGTACAAACACAAGGCGTGGCTGGGTAGGACCATCCTCAGCCATTGACTGTCGGTGCCTCACGGATCGTAAGTGACACCTAGTTCAACTGTCCTCCTGACTCATGAAAAACTGAGGCCCAGAGCAGTGAAGATGAACTGCCCAAGGCTGCATGACCAGCCAGAAGCAGAACTTGGGTCTCCCGATTCCCTCATATCTTCTAGGGGCAAGCCTTGGCAGTGACTCACTTACCAGCAGAGCTCACAGCAAGAGGGCAGGGGCCTGGCTTGTCTGGCCACACGGACTATGTGGTTCCTAGGGCACCTGCAAAACAATTGTCAAACCCAGTGACCCCCCCCCCCCCAGGGGATGAGAACTCCTGCTCAGTCTTAGGAGCCCAGTAAAAACCACCACCTCTTCCAGGAGGCCTACCCTGATCATCTCCGTACCCACCCACTCACCCAGGCCAGGCCCTTAAAAAGGAGCAATTGAATATCACTTCTCAGAACTCAGTACTCTACTCCCTAAGGCTAGGTCAGAGTTAAGTGTCCTCAGCTTCCTGCTTTTCCCTTCTAGCACATGTCGCAGGTTGGCTTTTAAGTCACCTAATCTGAGAGGTCTGTCCTGATGGCTGTATCCAAAGTGGTCCTGATCACCAAGGTGACCTGATCTAAGGTGACCCAACCAGCAGCCCCCTCACTTCTGTTTGCATTTCCTTCGTGCCACAATGATCTATCTCATTCGTGTTTACAGCATTATCCCCAACCCCAGAATGGGCAGGACTCACCTTGGCTGGCCGCCCCCCCCCACCCCCCCCCCCCCCCCCCCCACCCCCCGTTTGACTTCCAATATCCAGGAAGAAAGTATTCAAATAAGTGAGAAAACGCCAACGGACAAAGCAGCCCCTCCCTCCTGGAGCCTAAATTCAAGCGGGGAGACACAGTGTAAACAGACAAAAGTAAATAATAAATGAGTGTAAAAATGAATTACGGAAGAAATAAAGTAAGGATCAGTCATGATAAGGCCTAAGCGGGGGCCCACGAGGGTGGGGTGGTCGCAGGAGGAGGAGGAGCTCACTGAGGTCTGCCCCGGCCGAGCCTTGCGTCCGCCCGGCACCGGGGCGCGGAGAGGGGCTCCGGAGCGGGAGGAGCAGGGCTCCCGCCCCCGCCGCGAGCCTGGGGAGGGGTGCGAGGCCCCGACCGCGGAGCCGGCGGGGAGTCGGTGCGCCGCGTCTCGCCGGTCTTTTTGTTAGAGGAGCTGGACGGGCTGGGGCGCTGGACCCACCGGCCTGGGGCCACCGGGTGGACCCCTGACCCGCCACCGCCCTAAAACAGCGGTCGCCTCGCCGGGAACCTCAGTCTCCGGGTCCGCGCAGTGGGGCTGCCCCGCCACGTCCCCGCTGGCCACGCCCTCCCGGGGGCCGCCTCCTCCAGAGCCCGCGGGGCCCGCGCTCACCTCCGCGCCGACGGGCGCGCCGAAGCCCGGGAGGGCGGTCCGCGCGGTGGGCTGCGCCCGCGGCCTGGGGCGATCCGGGCTCCGGCCCCCGCGCCTCCGCCCGGGCGGGAACGTGGCCGCGGACGCCGGGAGACCCCTTCCGGGCGGCTCGAGTTACCACCCCCCTCTCCCCTCCCACAGCTCACCCGGGGATCTGCGAAGCGGCTTCTGGATCCACGCGGGAGGGAAACTGAGGCCGGAGAGGCCGAGACTTGCCAGAACCACGGAGCTGGTCAGCGGCGGGCGACCTCGAACCCAGGGCCCCGCCGCAGGCCGTCCGCGGGCCTCGGACCCAGCCCACCGCCAGGAGAACTCGGAGTCCTTCTCTTCCCCTCTCCAGCCCCCCTCTCCCCGCCCGGCCCACTTTTCCCACTGAGCCAAGCCTGGGACGGCTTGGGCCCGGCGCCTCCTTTGGGCGGGCTCCTATCCAGTCTGCGAGGCCCCGCCGAGCTTCCTGGCAACCCCACCCGGCTCCAGAAGCGCCCACATTTCTGTTTCTGGGGATTATCGATTTCTGCTTCCGCCACTCCCACCGGCATGCAACCCACCCGCGGTCCCCAGGGCTCTGCCTGGAATTGGTCCAAGGGTAGGCTTGTTGAGAGGGTTCCCCGAATGCACAACCAAACGCAAGAGGCTGGGGGTTCCTGACGGCCCTGGAAGCCAGGGAGGTCGGAATATCTGCCCATGAATTTGGTGGTTCCCAGCTCAGAGCTCTAGCCTTTGCAGTTCCTGCAGCCTAGAATGTTCCTTCTTACCTCTATCCCTCAGTTCTAACTTCTCAGGGCTCCTTCACACCAACTAGGTCTCGGCTTAAATGTCCTCTCCCTGACTATGCGATGTCAAGTAGCTCATCCTCAAGTCTATCACATCCCTGGGGTGTATTTTCATGATAGCACTAGCCACTACAGAACATTCCCTATACTCATGCTTTTATTTCCTGTTTATTATCTGTCTCTCCCACTAACTTTTATTCAGTTAATAACAGAAACCATAACAAATGTGTTAGAAGGTAATAAGTGGTATGGAAAATATAGGAAGTCACACTGAGCTTGGGAATTGCTGGAGCAGCGAGGTTGCAATTTCAAATAGGATGGTCAGGGTAGGCCTCACTGAGAAGGTGGCATTTGAGAAATACTGGTAGGAAATAAGGGAGCCAGTCATGCCAAAATCTGGAGGAAGATGATTCCAGGCAGAGGGGACAGTTAGTGCAAAGGCCCTGAGACCAGTTGTGTCTGAGGAACTGCAAGAGTGTGGCAGAGAGGCAGGGAGGAGGGGGACAGCAGCAGGAGATGTGGTCAGAATGCGTGCGGTTGGGCTTTGTAAATCTGTGAGTCTCCAGACTGAGATGAACAGCTGTCACAGGGTCTTGAGCAAGGAGTGACCTGAGGTATGTTGTGAAGGAGTACTCCAGGGGTGCCTTGGTGGCTCAGGCAGTTAAGCATCTAACTTGATTTTGGCTCAGGTCCCTGAATCAGGCTCTGTGCTGACAGCGTGGAGCCTGCTTGGGATTCTCTCCCCCTCTACTCATGTGCACGTGCTCTCTCTCTCTCTCTCTCTCTCTCTCTAAATAAGTAAATAAACTTAAAAAACATATTTGATGAGGGGTGCCTGGGTGGCTCAGTTGGTTAAGCGTCCAACTTCAGCTTAGATCATGATCTCACAGTTTGTGGGTTCCAGCCCTTGTTCTGACCGCTCAGAGCCTGGAGCCTGCTTCAGATTCTGTGTCTTCCTCTCTCTCTGCCCCTCCCCCTCTCATGCTCTGTCTCTCTCTGTCTCAAAAATAAATAAAACATTAAAAAAACCACAACATTTCATGAATGCAGGAGGGAAAGAATATGTAGAGTGCCTGGGGCCAGTACAATGGGTGGCTGGCCCAGAGTGTCAGGTAGGGGAGGAGAGCCTCCTGGCTCCGCAAAAACAGTGCCCTACACCATGCATCATGGCATTTTCTCACTTCCTTTTTAAAAAGCAGATATTCACTCCATAGTATTTATTAAGCGTTTACATTGTGTCGGGCACTGTGCTCGCCTTCAGGAACCCCGCAGAGGTGAAAGGACTAGCCTCTCAGGGAGCCACGGTCGTCAGGTCACCCAGTCCATAGACTTGCTCCGCGGGTGGTGCCTGCCTGAGGTGGGCGGGGAGAAGGAACTTGAGGGGGCGGGGCTTTGAGAACTTCGGGGGAGGGCTTATGGGCCCACAGGGGGCGGGACACGACATTGCTAGGGGGATTCTGATAGGTTCCGCCGGGAAGGCTTGCCGCCGTCAGGCTCCGCCCCCTGTGGAAAGCTGTAGGCAAATCAGGTTACAGCAGCAGTCGGCGTTCCAGAGGCCGAAGCCTGTGGCGGTTGTGGGTGCGTCCGCAGGGTGAGTTCCGCGAGCGGGGCACTCTGAGGGACGGTCCCCGCGCTAGGGCTGCTGGGCTGCTGTCCTTGGGGACGGGGTGGGGATGGGGTGGGGATGGGGTGGGGGCAACCCAGAGCTGGTGGGAGTCCGAAGCCTGGTCCCAGGCCGATGCCTCCGTTCTTCCTGGGCGTCCCAGAGGCGATCGCTGCCTTTTTCTGGCTCCGGCTCGGCGGAGGGCCGCCCGTGGGGCCGGGGGTTCCCGGCACTACAGAGGGGGTGGGGCCTAACGTCTAAGACATCTTGTTTAGTATTTCTGAAGGAAGAACCCAGGCTCGGGGAAGTGATAGCTGGGGGCCGGGGGTGGTGAACAGTGAGGGCGGCTTGTGGGATCCACGCTCAAGGTTGAGAGCGGTAGAGCTAGCGAGGCCGTAGTGGACCCCGGTGCTTACCTAACGTTTCTTACCTTCCAGAATCCAACGTATAAAGCTGGTGAAAGGAGAGCAGATCCGGTCGGGTCCTGAGACGCTGAGTCCAGAGCGATGTTGCTGAAAACAGGTACCTACGCGGGTGGGGGTGGTTTGGGGAGGACAGAAGACCCGATGGGGATAGGGGCTCCCTGGAGGAAGTTCCAGCCCTCTGGTGTCTGGGCCTCTTTCTTTGATGTGGGTATGTGGGAGACATGTTCCTCTCTCTTACTCTTGGAGCTGGGCCAGCAAGAAGGAGATGCTCCCCACCTAGGAATCAGTTCCCTTCCAAAGAGGCCACTTCCTTTCTCTCCCCTTCTCCCTCAAAGTACAGAGGACCTGCTTTAGGTGTTATCGACACCGCAGTAGTTGTTCCGTAGATGGCTAGATGCAGATCCAAACCTGACTAATCTCTTAAGCCCTTCTGAGGCCTTTTGGGGGTCTGTGGTAGAGAGCAAAGGGCCTTGGGTGAGACTCAGGAGACCTGGAGTCTGGCCAAGTTCTGTGTACACTGAGTTGGGGGAGCTAGTCAGGGTGCAGAAAGGATACAACCTCAAGTGTTAGTTTTTTACCGATTCCGGCACTGCTGTGGCAATAGCAGGTGGGGACTCAGGCCTCAAACACATTGCCCTGCCCCAGGCACCGTGAGCCCACTCACTGTAACTGCTGGAGCCGGCAGTTACAATAGGAGCTAATTCTTCTCAAGCCCAGGAGTCTGGTTGTTCCCCTAATGTGAAGTCCAGCGGCCTCTGCAGAGCCCAACAGCATGGAGTGGGGTGGGGCGAGGGCTGGGGCTAGGGGAGCCACTGACAGTCATCCTTCTGACTCCCCTGCAGTGCTCTTGCTGGCCCTGGTGGCCCGGGTGCTGATGCTAGAGAATGGGCTCCTGCGGAAGCCACCCATGGGCTGGCTGGCCTGGGAACGTTTCCGCTGCAACACTGACTGCGACGAGGACCCGAAGAACTGCATCAGGTGAGCGAGGTCCACACCACCTAACAAGCCTTGCCCAAGACCCCGGGGAGTAGGGGCAGGGAGTGGAGGGCAGGAAAAGAGCGCCCGTGCCAGAGAGGATGCAACCATAGGTGACCTTTGGGACATTGACAGCCTTGTGACCTGCTTGGGGCTTCTGTGGGAGCTGTCAGGCCTGTGGGGCAGGGGCATTGTGGCGGGCCCAGCCCCTGAGATCACTGAAAGGAGATCATTGCTACAGCCAGGCTGGCTCAGTCTTGCAGCCTGGGGCCAAACGGCTCCTTTCTTTCCACCCTGCTTATGGTTCTCATAGCCTGGATTCACACTCAGATCCTCTGAAAAGTCTGAAAAGCTCTGAGGAAAGGGGTGGGGGGTGACTGACTGCCCCATCCCCTGCCTCTCACCAGCGAGCGGCTCTTCATGGAGATGGCCGACCACTTGGCACAAGACGGATGGCGGGACCTGGGCTACACATACCTTAACATGGATGACTGCTGGATTGGTGGGCGTGACGCCAAAGGCCGCCTGATACCAGATCCCAAGCGCTTCCCCAATGGCATTGCCTTCCTGGCTGACTATGTGAGTCCCACCCCAGCCCTGCCCTTTAGCCTGGGGTCCAGACCAGGGTCTCCATGCATCCCCCCACCCTCTGCTCAGGGCTTATTTCCACAATCCCTCTTGAGAAATCACAGTCTGGTGGGGAAAACAGATAAATGGACAGCTAGTTTCGGCCCACCGTGGTGGGTAAGAGCCAGGAGGGGCATCTTTTCCAGCCTGGGATTTCAGAAAGATTCACCGGAGGAGGCAATTCTTGAGCTGCTATAGAGAGACGACATTCGAGGCAGAGGGGATGACAGAAGCAAGGCCTGGAGGCCAGCAGCTGCCCATGGGAGGTGTGTGTTGGAGTGAGGAGAAGGACCATAGTTGGCAGGAGACAGACCAGCAAACACACTCTTTCCTTTCGATGGTGGGGAGCCGATAATTTTCTAATGAGGACTGGTCAGATGTGCCTGTGAGGTGGCTCCCTGCGGGTCCTGCCTAAGCCCACTTGTGTCCTCAACCCTCCACAGGCTCACTCCCTGGGCCTGAAGCTGGGCATCTACGAGGACATGGGCAACTTCACCTGTATGGGTTACCCAGGCATCACGC